CGAGCTGGAAGGGCACCAGCATGCACTTCATTGAATTCACAAACAGACTCATGGAAAAATGGAAGGGTACAGTCAGACACTTGCACATGCAGAATCACGTCATGGTATCCCAGTCTGGCCAACCTTTGAGTGGGAAGAAAAAAGGAGGTTAAATAAAGTCAAATAGTTAAAGTAAGAAGGCAGAATACACCCAAAGAATAAATGTTTTGCACAGAAAGCCTCTTCAATTAGGCAGAATGCTCCAGTCTTGTCAGAGGACCACGGACGTTTGTCTCGCTCTTGGCATTCACATACACACACACACACACAAACATCTCTGCTCCTCTCTACCTGGTCGGTCACCTGGTCGTCTGGCCTACCCTTTTACCTACCCTCCGGCAGAGGCAACAAGTGTCAGCCTCTCCTCTGTTGCTCCTCGTTGCCGCGTCCAAGTCTCATCTTCTCTGAGTCTGGCTCTCCAGGCCGAGACTGGCAGAGGGAGCAAACAAACCGGATCGCGTGTCTCCTCAGACTTGGATGTCGGGGTGGATGGTAGAATGGGGTTGGGTGTGGTGAGGTGATGTGAGGTGAGATGGGATGGGATGGGATAGGGTGAGGGGTGGGTAGAAGCAGAGGGGAAAAAAGGCACGCGCCCCTTTTTAGGGCAGTTTTAACGTTAGCAAAAGTAAATACATTAAATCATCAGTTACAATGCCTACTCTGCAGCCTGTATCGTCTGGTACAACACTTGTCTGCCTCTCTCTCTTGCTCTATGAGCCTCACCTCCCGGCTCTCGCCCAACTCTGCCACATAAAGGAAGATTCATCTTGCCCGCGGATGCGAGCATCTGCTTATTATTTGCCCAACCAGGGCGACTTTAGGATACCCTTTTACGGGATGAAACCAAGACAAAAAGGCACGCAGGGAAAGTATCGTTTTTTTTTGACATCAATTCACCATTTGCTCTCCAGTTTCGACAACCTGCTGCATGACGGTGCATACCAACTTATAAATCCGACTTGACTTTAATGTCAAAGAGGGAGGATACCGTTTGTTGCGTGATGAGCACTCAGTCTTGGATCCCCCATCCCTCCTTTAGCCTCTTCTTCTACTTCTCTTCCACTTACTCATCTTTTCCGCTCAATTATCGTCACTCCACAATCATAACTCACTCCTTCCCGTTCTCCTCAAATTCTAACCTTTTTTCTCAATGTCTATACTTTTTCTTCTCCCACCCCTCCTCAGTACTTTCTTGTCTTTAATTCCTCCGCTCTTATCTCCTCTTCTCCAACATCAAATTTATTTTCCTCCTTAAAACTTTAACTTTCCCTTTTCTACCTCCTCCACTGTTTCTCGTCTGTCCTCTCCTCCAACGCTAGCCTCCTTTTTCCTACTCTTTTCTTTGAAATTTAGTAGTTTTCCACAATTTATACTTTACTTAGCCCTTCCCTACTCCGCCTCAAGATACTTCGCTTTTTCCTATTCTCTCTTCCATTTTATATTCTTCCCCTCCTGCTTATTCATATCTCTGCAACTATTTTCTCCACTCTTCTTTGCCTCCTATTTTTGCTCCCTTATTCCCACAATATTGATGCCCCGTATGATTCTACCTCCTGATTGTCGTCAACAACTGACCACCCGTAGCATTGCAGTAGCGAAAACAGGCTAATGATAATAACGTGTTTATTCGTCACTCCACCAGCCTCTAATCCGAAAATTTGAGGTTCGGGCTGCAGATTTTATGTCAAAATCCTACCTTTTGTCAAACCCCCCGAGGCACTATAGTTGCCGAACCAAAGGGGTCGCAACTTGCTTTGCGGTACCAGCCAGGGACTGCCCAAATTCCAGGGCTGGATGCAAGGATATTGTGAAGAACAATAATGGTATTGCGGAAAAATAATGCGGGCTAGGCTGACCGGAAGTCTTAGTCAGGATTTACTGAAAGTTGCGAAACCTACTTACTATGAACTGTAATTATAATCAACAAAGTTACCTATTTTCGTAGTGAATATGGTTCGAAATTATCATTGATCTCCAAATGTGTGTTGATATTCTTACAAAGCTTGTGCTACGTATTGCAGCTCTGAAAGCGTTTCTCTTATGCACGACGTTCTTAATTGTGGAATAATTCAACTATCCCTCCTTCCTCACCAATGCAACCAAGGGTGACTAGAAAGGGTATTAAAAATACATTGAAAACTTCTTACTTTTAAGATAAGTTGCGGTTATTACAATCGACGAAATTACCTATTTTCATGGTGATCAAGGTTGGAAAATCAGATTTATTCATGAGCGAGAATTAGGGAAAACACTGTACGAAACTAGGACTAGATCAAACTTGGAAATGGGTCATATTTAATTTGGATTGTTTGAATGATGCAATGAGGCTGTGAAAACATTTGTAATAGGTACGATGACGATTCATGTGAGCATCATCGTATTCAACCAAGGTTGAACAGAGCTCATTTCATAATATATTTGGAGTGGTACAGACTTCAGTCACTTGCCGAAGTTGCCACCAGCTTGGGATCAGCTTTTCATTTTGTCTGTATGTCAGGTTGTCTGCTTCGGAGGGGACGCAAGAAACCTGTTTGCCTGACAGAACTCGTCATTCAGGAGGGTCAGTTGACCGGAACTCGAACAGCAGGACGATAACGCATGTCGTTTAATTAAGGCGCAAATGCTCTCTCTCTCTCTTTCGCTTTCTCAAGTCGTTTCTCGCCCTCAAGCGGTCACTTTGTCTGTGCCCTCTCTTGCTCCCGCCAAGAGGATGCAAGCTCGTGGGGCCGACAGATCTTCATACACGCGCCTGCCCTGTATGATTCAGGGCCCTCCCAACGGGGGGTCAAACAACGGGCCTGTTTTCTCTCTCGTTCTCTCTTTCCCTATTCGTTGGCGTTTGATATGCATTTTCCCACTGACATTTCCCCATTGCCAATTTCTTACTGGTCGACAGGACCATCTGTCACGCACAACGTGATCGCAGATGGCCCTGCCCTCCCCGTCTTCTATCCTCCTCTGTACCTCTAATGAAGGCCTCCACAACCCACCGATGCCTCAACACCAAGACAACACACACACACACACACCCACACCCACACACAATCACGTACTTGTACCAATGAGTCGACAACATCAACAAATATGAGCCTGCAATGCCTGGGCCATGTCCATCAAATATGCAATCACGGGTCTCCACAGGCCTCTGAGGCTGATCCCGGCCTCAATTCTCCCACTGCACCCTCTTACGTTGGGACATGGCTTGACGAATGCACACAAGCATGCATACATTTGGACAGATCTGCTTCATGCTTACTAACAGATAAACATACATACACACACACACAGACACATACAGACACAGATGGACATGTAGATAAATGTGTTGGTGGAAGTGGGCATTTCCTTCATACCTTGGGCAAGAGATCAACCTTACATGCCGGACGAGCCGAATGATCCACTTGCGCAAACTGGGCTCCTCTTGCGCAAGCTGCCCCCAACTTATTTGCCCCTTCCATCTGGTCGTTTACAAATTACCTCTGCCGGTGAACTTTTCATACCTTTACTCCCTCAGGAGACCACTCCTCTGAATTCTTTACGACTCATTTTCTCCCTCCCATTCTTTACCCTAGACCCCCCCCTCTCTCTCTCGCTCACTCACTCTCGCTCTCTTACTCTTTCTCGCTCGCAGGCTTGAGTTTTGCAGCAGGAATCACTCCTCCATGTCTCTTGCTCTTGGCCTTGACGCACATGAACATGCATACATTTTAATGGGAGCATCTTCCCCTCTCGGTTGGAGACCGCAATAGGCGTGGATCGAAACGCAGGGCCCGCATACCAAATAATCAGGATGAAAAATTAACATAGCTCGAGGGTCAGGTCAACTAAGAAGCTGCAGGATACGCTCAATCAAGTCAGGGCCTCTAGCGACGCCCTGCTCGGTCCTGGTTTCAGTCTCGTATCGGAAATGCTAAAAGAGACACGAAATCATACACACACACAAGCACGCATGCAGGCACATAAACACAAGATTACTTAAAAACGCACGTCTGAAATATCGGTTACGGGCTTGGCCAAGTCAGCGCAAACGGAAATATGGACGCCGAAGGGCACGCAACTGACGAAACGTGTTGACGTATCTGAAGTTCGTGGGAACTGACAACAACTGAAACAACATTACAGCCTTCATCTCCGGACCCGTTCAACTTTACCGGACTCTCTTCAGGCTTCAGTCTAGCCTCAGTTCCCAGCATTGAAGCAGTCATTTGTTTATATTCATCACGCGAATCACCTCGGCAACTCATGCTATGAAAAACACACACCTACCAATATGATATCGTTTTTATCTCTCCTCTCTTTCGCCCACCAACGATTAAATAGATATATACTCTCATTTATATTTTAACCTAACTGACTGCTCATTAAGAACTCTGTATGAATGCATAACCTTACTTAATCATGCGCCATGTTATTTATTTAGTTTTCCATTAGTTTAGGTTTCTTTTTAGGTTTCGTCATGAGTCCGATAAAGCATTAAAAACTAGAATGTGTGACTACGCTTGTTTCACTCTTTCACCTCCCTTTCATGTAAGATGATCGTGCTAAGATGAAAGGGGTTTGATAAAAAATAATAAAACAGAAACACGCATTGGAGTCCGCTCCCACC